AGCACGTTCTGCTCTATCAAACTGGTAATACCACCTCCCTCGTTCATTCCGATTTTCTGATCGATTTTTTCAAATGATTGTTCTCAAGTGTGTTAATCAGTATATGATCTAAAAATGTATGAATTTTTTCAACATTCTTGAGGATTCTAATGCAGTTTTTCATGAGAAATCTGAATATGTAATTGGTTTTAAAATTTGAGCGCATAATGATGTACTCTATCATTGGCCTTTTGATAAAAGTGTAACAGAAATTTATCATGAAATCGTGCTCAAAGGGTGTGGATGGATGTGGGGTGTGGATGTGGGTGCGTATGAAGATAGATCAATACCCACACCCACACACCCTTATTCGTTCATGTAAATTTCTACTGTCTATTTCTGGTTCTCTTCGTGCTATTATTGTATATGTGTGTGTGAGTAATGCAGAGTCGTGTATGTGGATGTTATTGCCCGTCCACACATCAACAAGATGAGAAAACAGTAGGCAACTATTCTGTATTTATTCATATTATTATTGTTTATAGATAAAACAACACATTGGTTCAAAAGTGATTAGCTTCTAATTACACTATATTAAGCCGAAACAACAATCAACGATGAAAAACCACTGTTCAACATCAAGTATGCCTATGTATCAATCGACATTTCAAAGCCATGATGCTGGACATGACACAAAGCAACTAGTAGATCATTACATTAGTGACCCGTTGAAACTAAATTTTCCTACAGTACGCGTGTGTCTTAAATGTGGACGACAATTACAGCTAGGTACAAGGTGTTCATGTGAGTCTTGGGGTATATGGTCCCACATAAGCTCTTGGCTGAACAAATGGAGTCAAAACTGAACATCAACGAACTCTTCTGAGTTTACCCCTAATTAACCCAACAACCATTAATTTTATGAACATTCCGATCTTCCTTCTATACAATATCTAACACACGGCTACTCTCAATGACTTAATCTCTTTACATTTTAGCGAATACTAAATATTCTTACATAAATATTTAATAAACAAGATAAGTTTAAAATATAAATTTACCTTTACTTCTTTTCTAACAAGAACAGTTTGTGGAAAACTCGGTGTGCTTGTGGGTAAGTTGGAGTGTGTTGTTGTCGGTATAGCAAACCAATTCCAAGCGTGAGTGCGGATGTGGATGTTTATTCCTCTTTAAACTTGCACCCAAACCCACACTCAAACCCTGATAAATACTGCTGTTTTATCGATTTCTCTGAATCATTTCGTAATTAAAGGTTTTTGAATTACTTTATAATTCATTTACGTTTAATTTTAAAAAATTTCATTCTAACTTCTCTACTAATTGAACTATCCAAACACGTGTCAGATTGGAGAAAACCTGAATATTACGTCCTTGAAAAGAAACTTAAGTCATTTGCATGTAGCAAAAATAGAAGAGAAGAAAAGACAGTCCGTTTTGTCTAGTAATGCACACCTTGTATAGAAAGGGTAGAAGAAAAAGAAAGAAAAAAGAGAACCTCTCATTTTGTTCGTTCTTCTAGATCAAATTTACCTTTCAAAACTATAAAAACACAGGCAGAAAGGTGGCATGTTTGCACAAACTTCCGAGTGAATTCAGAATTTCGACACAAGATGAAATAGTTTGCGTACTATCATGCTAAACTACTTATTATGAGAATTTTTCGTATTTCTACGACTTTAAGTCTAATTTTAGTCGAAACGTTTCTATAGTTCAAAAAGTCGTAAAATACCAATGTTATTTGTAATGATTTCCAATAACGGTTCATCGCCTTATTTTTACAATCAACGCCAAGGACATTGTTCAACCTATTCAGGACGCCATATCAAATTAGTCAATCTGTCAAAGAACTGCACGCATTTATCAAATTGCTGCATTCCATGTTTGACGCAAAGTATATGTCTACTGATATAGAATCAAAAAGAGCTTATATATTCAATTCTCCAATGTCTGTATGCAAAGTCAAATTCGAATCTGAAGAATATTGTCGCTTATTAGACAAACGGCTTACTAAGATAATAGATAATTTGCTATTACACTGAATACGTGAATCTAATGAAGAATTTAGATGTTGCATGTGAAACAAGGAATCTGGAGCTGGATAACTTGTATCGAACCAAAAGAATTTACTTGGGTATGCTAAATATCATCGATTACTTTCGATTTGATAGCATATAAACAAAATATCCTGCACATATTAAAAAAAAAGTTCTTAAAAATTGATTTTTTAGTTTGCGTACGCCTTTAATCATTACGTTTATCACAGAAAACTACAGTAAAATTTAACGTATTAAAATCTCCTTCTTATAATAGAGCTTTTTTGTTATCCTGAACGTCCAATCCTCATGAAAATTTAAGAGAAGGCCTATTATAAGTTAAATACATGATAGACAAAATATCAGCCTGAAATCCTAAGTTTAATATGAATTATTCATCAATCTAAAATCGAAGCGTACCCTTCCATGCTTTTCAAATTTCTTCGCTGCTGTACAATTTTTCGAGTTGTTGAGCCAAATGTAAGATGAGTATGAAACATGTCGGAAAAAAACGTCATAGTTTCATAAAAACTACTCTTAGTATACTTGAATAGTTGAACGAGACAAACGATTGTTCTCTGTTGCGACAGGAAACACAAAAACTGAAGATCGAATACTAATGGATATGACATTTTTCGACTAAAACATATGGGACATCTTTCACTTTATCAAATCTGTATTGTCATAATAGAGATCGCATCGGAAAAAATAATTTCTCTGATAGTAGAATGCTTTAAAAACCATAGATTAATGACATAAAAGTCCTAGTAAATCTTCGAAGTTTACAAAACTTTGAATATCAATGTCAGACTTATTGATTAGATGTACTGATTAAGTTATTCATCATTCATAGGTATTGTACATGTCATGCTTGCGAACAAATGTTATGTTTTCGCTATTCAATTGAATGGTGAAAGGATTTCACTTGTAATTAGTTTGATGCTTAATGAGAATGAAATGAAGAATTGGCCTCTAATGTAACTATTTTGGCACTTGCTAAAAATGTCCGAATGAATTATGTAAAACTTCTATCATGAAATATGAAGACTGTAAGATGATGAGTTGTTGTTACTTTGGATCTCATGTTTATGCTGAATCAAAGACCAGGTGTGATAATAGTGGACGAAGCTATTGCGAACAACAATTTTGTTGGAGTTATCTTGGCAAAATCGACATCGATAAGAAGACAAACAGTTTTATAAGACATTGCAAACTAAGTCGCAAATATTATTCATTATATTGATTGATCTATCCGATTTTGTGTCATACTATTCTGTTTAAGTTATACAAGGACTTCTATCTTTAAAATGTTTCAAACAATTTTCAGTAGTTTCATTCTTTTTTCTTTCTCTCTACTAATGATCCAAAAGTAATGATACACCAGAAATGTTTGACCTAGTTAATCAGTTCATAATGATTTTCCAATCTAGAAACGATCTTCAATATATAAGTAATTAAATAAAGATTATAAATTTCTAAGAATCTCTTGTCGATAATCAATTTAAAGATTTTTAAATTTAATAAATTAGCAGTTATTTCAATATTAATAGAGTGTTATATGAGTATCACTTGTAAGTAAGATGTTTTTTACTCATGAAATATTGGTAAAATCATTGAGAAATATATCGAAATCGAAGTATAACTAATTGAAAAGTTTGTTGATATTAGATTCTTAATTTTCATTTGATGATGTCTCTAAAAAGGAAAATGATCTAGTATTTTACTATGGAAGAGATATTTTTAACTGAAGAAACATGCGCTCCATACGCTAATCCAAATGACATATTCGAGCATTGATAAATGTGTTTGAGATACTTTTCTAAATTCGAATTATTTTTCAAGTTGTAAAGTTAAATAAAACAAACACATAGAACCACTATTTTAAATGCATTTTTCTTTAAAATTTTCCAATGAACACCTAATTTCTGATTATTCATAATTAATAGAATTTTGACTCAAATATCTTGAAATGTCGAAGTCATACTGTAGTAGAGGATAGTAGACTATCAAGTTCACATATTTGACGTGTAAAGTTTTGTTTATATTGCTAATAATACAACGTTAATGGCATTTATTTAAACCTCTGACATATGAACACTAAGATTAATATAATTGAATTAAAACGACATACTACTGTAGGAATCTTTCTAATATGATTTTACTCTTGCAATCATTGAAAAAACAAAAGAGTTGAACTCATAGATAATAGAAACATCAGTCGCATAAGTGAACAATCTTCTTATTTTCTTGTTTTTCAGATATAAGTTCAGTGATATTCGACTGTAAAGCAATCTGACAAGTTTCAAAAGATTTTCAACGATTCGAATTGCATAAGGTACGTAGATACTCATTTCATGAAACGATATGGTTTATTCAAAAAATAAAAAAACTTCTTGGTGACTCTCATATATCTTTTTTTGAACTCCCAATGAAACACAAATTCGAAAATATTTTTCAATAATCCAGTCTGTTCTTTGTTATAAATCGGAACATTTTTCTTTATCAGTTAACTCAAAAAGTCAAACAATTCAAATTCTGCAACGATTTACAATACTTTAGCACTCGTTCATTCATTTCTTCATCTTTCAATATTTGTCAAGCAGCACAAACAAACAAACTATGGCAGAAAATGCGGATGTGACCAGCATTATTAGACAAGTATGACAAATTAGTCGATGTGTATAATATAAGAATTGACAAAAAACGTCTACGATCATTATATATTTGTGTGAAATACATTGAGCTTAACTCGAATTTAAAAAACAGTTTGTGAAAGTGACATATCTATATGAGACGACTGATGTAAAAAAAACTCCAAGCAAAATGAGACAAGAAGTAGTTGAGGAAACTATTAGCATAAACTATTGTAATTTATTGTTCTTATATGATTCGACCGAAATAATTAGTCAATTAGTTAAGTTATCGTCAATCTTTTCAATTTTCATATTTAATATAAATATATGAACTATGAATAAGATTTTAAATATTTATTCTTATGTAAAGAATAAAGAACGTGCTGGTGATATATTGAAGAAGAATGAAACGCATTCGAGCAATAAACAGAACAGCAATGTTAAATCAGACGATTATCAACAGAAAAAACATGAACTTGAAATGAATCAACGAGATGATGCCGAACAATCTCATACTTCTCTTAACAAGCAAACACTTAACAGTTCACAAACAAGAGAATCCATAGCGTATGATTTCATTGATTACGAGGATGATTACGATATAATTGAAAAAAATGATATTTTATCCGATAATATGCACAACAGTAAACAATCAACATCAGACTATGGTTTGAATAATCAACGAACAAGTGAAAATTTTCAATATAATAGATCAATATCCATGAATATCGATAATCATCAATCAGAAATTCCAAATATCCAAAGAAGAAAGTCTTTGCAAATGAATCTAGAAATTGACACGAATAAATCTCGAGAATATCCGAATAACAAGTCAATTATTAAAGATTTTCAAGAAAATAACCTACTACCGATCGAATCAATGAACAACAATTCCGATAAACAAATATCACAACTTGAAGAATTTGAAGAAAAAAAAATCAAATGCGATCATTACTCGCCAGTATAGTATTATAAATGCTTTTGCTTTTTAAAAATAGACTTCTGTTAGAGAACGGATTTTGATACATGTTCAATTTTCTATAAGACTTTCTTGTCTCTAGATATGTTATTTAATTTAAAAAATGACTATTTTCTAGAATTTTTTTTTAGACTTTTTATTTCAATGAAATTTTTTATTCCGATTATTTATTCCCTTGACGGTTGTATCTATTGATAAAAATAATTAGTCTTTTGTAACAATCTCATTCCGACAAGTCATAGATATAGTTCTTTTTCATGTGTCACCAAATTAAAATATTAAAGTCATCGTTCGTTATGAGTTTTTTTAAACATTACATTAATTATATTGTAGTTTAGTTAAGTTTTTTTTTTTAATTAACTCTTCAGATTTTATCTCTGTTAGTAAACATTCCTAATCAGATCAATATCTTTCCGAATTTGAATATGGTCCGTATCAAAATTTTTGTTTCAACTAGACCTATTGAAATATTCTCTCTTATAATTGACTATTTCAAATTCATTTTTATTGTTGAAATTTTTTACGTATAGAAAAGTTCAGTTTCAATGCTAATATGAAAAAAAATTTAACATTTTCCTTAAAATAAATATATCTATATTTAATTATTTTCTATAAGATATTTATTTTTATATAGAAGATAATCATCATATTCAAAGTTCTAGAGATTATTTTGAAATTCTAATTTATCTTTGTAATTTTAATGAAATTCATAATCTCAATCATCTGACTAATCGCATTTGATGAAACGATTAACAGAAAGAATTATCTTTTTTCGAATAAACACTTATGTCTATTTGCTTTTTACATTGACTTTATTTAATCATCATAATTTATATCAGATATTTTCCTACATATTGAGAAATATAGTGATAATTAGAAATACTTATTTAATGCATATATATTATTCGTAAAATCTGAAAATTTTATCTATCCAATTAGCCATTCGATCAGTGGTAACTGATCTACGGTATATTAACTTACAGATAGGTCGACGGATATATCCTTTACTGAAAACCTTTGCTTGTATCAATCATATTAAAATAATCTTATTATATTTATTTTAAATAGTTAAGTTCGTCATTTTGATTAGAATTTATTTATAAAAATGAGAAAATATCTAGAAAATAAGAATATGAATCATTTCATAGCATTATATATTTTTAATATAATATTATTG